CAATTTTCTGTCCAGCATCTCCCATTCTCTCCCTGTTTCTGGTCTCTTTTTCTTTCATTGGTGTTTTTTCTTGTTTTTTCTCCTCCTTTTTTGCTGGCTCGCTATCTCAACCTTTCTGCTTTCTTGTTTTTCTTTTTTTCCTCTCTTTTCTCTCTTTTTTCTCTCTCCCAGGCCACAGGGCTCAGAACATAAAGCTTTCTCGTTAACAGTTCACTGGTTATGCCTACATAGTAAAAAATGTGTAGCTTGATTAACGGCTTCCAGATGGTTAATTAAAAAAAGAGGGGGGAATGCACCAATCTCTTACCCCTCTTCAGAACCCTGCACACATACATTGCACAGGAAGAAAACTTCATTAAAGGGTGAGGGGAGCAATATATTTGAGAAATAGGGGCAGCCTGTTAACTCCAGGGCGGCGTTGCCAGGCTGGGGAGTTAGCTGTTGATTTGCTCTGTCCCTGCTTCATGCCCTCTTCCCTCATCTATCCCAGCCCAAAAATCCCCATCCCAGAGAGCGATGCTCCTTCGTGTACAACATGTAACGCACACAAAGCCTCCTCGTACCCTCATGTGAACCCCACTGTGGGCACCATGCCGCTCTGCCCCCACCCCGTGCTCTGACACCCCCAAAGCAACACTGACCTTCATTCTCTCCCCATATTTATTTTTCAGGGGGATGCACGCACACCCCCATGTGTCTTTCATGAATCTTGATCATGCAATCGGTTGCGCAAGAGTGACTCTGTTACCAGAGCCGTGAGCCCATAGGAGCGGAAGGGCCCCGTTGGGTGGGGTCTGGGCTTTTGGACTCGGCAGTGCCAAAGTGGGTGCAATGGAGTGGGGGGTTGCAAGTAGGGTCATTGGGGCAACTCAGGAGGAAAGGGGGGTGATAATGTGGTCAGCTATTCTTCTCCATAGGTCATTGCTGGGCAATTTAATCAATGCATCTTCTGTTTGTATTACAGACACATCAGCTGTCTCCTTCTTACAAACTGACATGCTTCTCCTCTTCCCCCCCTGCCCGTAGCTCTGCCTACTCCTGGTTTCTTTGTCTCTCTCTCAAGGGAGAGACAGGAGGAACACAAATCCTTCCCCACCCCGTTAATAGAGATACTGCCTTCCTGACGTGAGTCACGAAGGGTTTAAGCCATGCAGTTGAGGGTGAGCCGCATCCAGCCCCCCACCCTGCACACCTCCCACCACGGATCTCCCTGGTTTCCAGGGAAACAGCAGCCCCAAATGCTGCCTGACTTTCACGTCTGCCTTTCATTTCTCCTTTTTTTTTTTTTGTAAGAAAAACCACACAACTGATTTTTTTCTCCCCTCCCCTTTCAGGATCACCACCACAGCTGCTTGCATGATGGACCTGCGGAGGTATCCCCTGGACCAGCAGAACTGCACGCTGGAGATCGAGAGCTGTGCGTATGCCTCGTGCCTGCCCGCTGCCACGCGGTGCCACCAGATGCCACCCGCCCCAGCCGCAGCTTCCCACTCACGGGATGCCTCCCAGGGGTGTTACGGGCCACCCCTCCTAGAGGATGTCCCCTGGGGCAGGAGCAGGCTCCCTCATCCAAACTCCATCCTGAGGGGACCTCGTGGGTGAAATGCCCAGGAAAATGGAGCTCTAGCAGCAGGCTAGGCATTAAAATCACTCTCACCCTCAGACGGGTGGTGGAAGGCTCCCTCAGCCCTAGGAAAGTCCTGGGAGCCTGCCCTCACTCGTGGCTGGCCCCGCTCTGCGTGGGAAGTGGGACCTGAGCCCCCTCGCAGTCCCTCCCCACCTGGATCTTCCCTTGACTCATATGGAAAGCCGCTCCTGACGATGCTGGTGGAGGAGTTCTGGCTCTCCCTCGTAAAAATGCACCGCAGTATCCCTTCAGGAGTGGTCCAGAGCAGCAGATCTCACAGTAATGATGATGCAGCTTCAGTGGTGACTATCAGAGAACTGCTTTTTTCATAAAAGAGGTCCTACAGCGTCCATAGTTGGAAGGTGCTGTGCCACCTTCCCAGCCCTGCCTGTGCCTGGGAGCCCCCTTCCCACTCGCCACTCGGGTTGCTCGGGATGCGCAGCCATCGCAGCGCTTGGCGTGGCGGGTAATGGGATGTAAATTAGGTTCTGCTGGAGACACTAATGACATGTCATTTCTGGCAGTCCTTAGCATTTTTAGAATAGAGTACAACCAAGAAAACAGAAGGCAGAGAACTACCCACAGTTCCCGATGTTGCAATTTTGTTCTTAATGGGACATGTCAAGCCAATTTGTTTGTCGAAGCTATGTTTCCTTACAATATTTCTAAGAAAGATCCACACAGAGATGAAGAGATTCAATCATTTCCTTCCTCAGAGCTTTTGTCTTTCAAATACTCGTACATTTGAAATCCACAGGGCTCCATTTTGTTTGCTTCCAAGTCCACACAACTCTGGAATAACAGTCCTTTCATGGGTGGCTTAAAAAGCAAAGTATATAAAAAACCCCCTAAAACAAACTACCAAAATAGCCCTTTTGTGGTGCAGGGCTGCTGGGGTTGTAAAGCAGCAGTGGGCGGCTGGGATCTCCTTCCCCACTGCTGCTCGGGGCACTTACCTGCAGGACATAAGCCAGTGCTGGCACTGCCTGTTGATCCCATCCCTCTATCCCGAAAATAACGCTTACTGCGCATACCCCTGCCTAGCTATGTGTGAGGATTCAGCAAAAAGCTGATGAGGCAGGCAGCAAACAGGCTGTTAATCTGACATTTTAAGACATCGTATCAATACTTTATGATATTTCAGGTTGAAATGACTTGTCTTTGTGAAAGTTCTTTTACTTTTTAAAAGAAAAATGGAAATTTGGTTTTCTTTTTAAAGCTAGAAATCAAAGTGAAGCATTTATTTTTAGATTGAACAACCTTCCCCTTTAGAATCACTTTAAAAAATGGCTTCCCAAAAAACATGTTTGATTTCATATTGCATAATGCCATAATAAAAAAAAGTACAAAAATTGGTGCCCAATACCAGCAGGTCGTAGAATAAATGGAATAGAGCTAGTTAACTGCGAGATCTCCTAAAATTAGTTACTGTAATTTGACATTTTCATTGCTGATCAGGAAGTAAATTTCAAGTCACTGCTGTTAAATTTGTGGATGATGAAGATAGCAGTCTGCGTGGCTTGCTTGCTGTACATTTGAATACCTCCCAATCTGAATATATTCAGAATACATTTGAATACAGCTAAATGTGGAGGTCTGTGCCTGGGTGCGGGAGCGCAGGCAAGGCTGCCAGACTGAGGGACTTGTACCTGCACGGGTATCAACTGGGGGAAATGATGAAGGGATGGCAGCCCTGAGCACTGCTGCTGGAGGTTTCACAGCAGGGCTCTGACAGAAAGGGCTGGAGTGAGCCTTGGTTATGTAAACCAGGGGAGCCATGAGTCAGAGCAGGGAATCGATCGGCCTCTGAATGTGTCACTGGTGAGACGGGGAAAGGGCCTCTGTCTATATTTGGTTTCCAAAATTTAGAAAGGAAGTTGAGAAATCAGAAGAGGTTGGGAAAAGATGCTAAAAAGCGGTTCAAGGGCTAGAGCAGATGTTTTGCAGTAAGAAACCTAAATAGCTCAGTCTGGTTTGTTTGCTGCAAAGGAGGTGGAGAGGTGACTTGTTTACAGGCTGGGTGCACCTCTGCAGAGGGTGCTGGGTGGAAAGGGCTTGGTAACCTCCTCAAAGAATTCAGAACAACCACCAGAGTCTGAAAGTCTGAGCCAGATGAATTCAAATGTAAAACTGCACACGATGTTTTTAGCTGTGAGAGTGTTTGAGCCGCTGGAATCAACCACCAGGAGGAGTGGTTGTTTCTTGCTGCTTTCCACACTTGGTCTCAGTGCTCTGGGAGAGACGCTGCAGCCAGATGCAAATACCAGTTGTGCACAAAGCTGGAGTACTTGAGTCAGTGTAACAGCCTGTGACACCCCAGTGTCTGCAGCAGATGAGATGATAACCTAAGGGTCCTGAATCTCTGTGGGCTCGTGGGTGTGAGTGCTTTACCAGTTACTGCCATGGGAGCAGGAGCATACCACGGGGGAGGAGGTGGAGCCCTGGCTTAGGTGATTTACACCAGAACCAGATCTGGCATGGCATTTGGAAGATTTTTATTATTTTTTAGCACCCATGAATAAACATAGTAATGACTGAGAGCGCAGGATGTGGGCTTGGAGACTACACAGTCATCAAATAATGCAGTTTGGGAAGAGACCTCAGGGTGTCTCTAGTCCAGCCCCCAGCTCAAAGCAGGGTCAGCTACGAGATCAGACCAGGTTGCTCAGCTCTTTGTCCACTCGGGAGCTGCAGGATGACACCATCCTCAAAGGTTCAGCTCTGATCTGGGGTAACCCTTAGCCCCTAAGGCTAAGTAGAAGAATTTCTCCTCCATGGTACATTCAACAGCTCTTCATTCCCCCAATCCTACTAATACACTGGTGCTTGTTTTGGTGGCAGTTTTCCCTAGTGGATGTAAGCCTTGCTGGGTATTGCTAGCCAACTGCCTCTGCTGTGAGGACTTGTGGACAAGGCAGGCTGCCGTGCTGCAGTGCAGGTTGTGAATAAAAGCTCTCTGTGGGCATAGTTGAAGTTCATGCTCTAAAAGAAGCCTTGCACCATGCTGTACCAAAGCCTGTACATATCTTACTGCTTCTTTGCACACAAAGGTGCTCCCATGCAGCTCTGCACTTTGCTTAGAATAAGAGGCTACCCCTTGTGCAGCAGCAGCCACAGTGGTTCAAAACCCAGCTTGCCACAAGCGGCATTAATTTTCAGGTGGAGATGAAACCTTGCCCACAAGGGCAGTGGGCAGGGCTGTGAACATCACACTGATGGGAGGGGAGCTGCATGATTTCGCCCCCTGGGCCTCATTCCCCATGAGTCGAGCATCTGGGGAGTCTTTCTCCTGGGGCTGTGGCTTTGGGCTTCTCAGCACTTCCAGCCTGTGCAATCCTGTCTGGCATGTATAGTTTGGGGTTAAAGTAAGAGGCGGTACCCTCGGCTGAGTTAACAAATCCATTACCCTGAAATATAAGGGATGAGTATTTGTTACCAGCCTGACTCCCCCTCCTCTCTTCTCCCATTACTGCTCTTTTCAGCCAGCCCTTCGCAAAAGCAGCCCCTGATCTCAGAGACACTGTCCGCTTCCTGGCTCCAAATTTTGATTGAGTGTACTTAGAAGAGGGAGGTGCTCTGATGCTCAATTTTCTTTTCAACTGCTGTTGTAAATCTTTTTCTCTCTGGGAATTTTTAATACTTAGGTGCTCTGTTTACCTAGTCCCCACGAGAATGTATTGTGTGGTCTCCCCCTTCTGGTAAAGGGAGGCAGTTTTTGAAAAGCAAAATGCTGTGTTTGGTGCATTTGACAGAGCCTTCTGATGCACAAATCCCTGTCATGTCAGCCATGGAAATTATGTAGCACAAGTCAAGGCTTGATGGACCACTTCTTACCTTTTTCTCCTGAATTCTAGCCAGAAGTGGGAGTTCTGACCAATTTTTTCCTCTTCTGAGGACTGTACTGCCAAGCTCAGCTGAAGAAGAAAAGTACGTCAGCAGGGAGGGGCTATGCTTGCTATCTGATGGTGTGGGCTTTCCTTTGGATCCTCTTCCAGATCACCTTAGTGAAAATGAGGGTGTCATCTGCTCCAGCTTGTCAGCTTAGTTCTCTCTCTGTGCTTCTTCATCTCTGCAGATGGTTACACGGTTGATGACATTGTCTTCTTCTGGCAAGGAAATGATTCTGCTGTCACGGGGATGGAGGTACTAGAACTGCCCCAGTTCACCATTATCGAGCAGAGGCTTGTCAGCAGGGAAGTGGTCTTCACCACCGGTGAGTCTCTGCTGAAGGAATGCGATGGAATGTGCAAACCTTCTGCTGATCAACGTCAATGTGGTTGTTCCTCTGAATCAGATGCTGAGGCACTAACTTAGGAGACAGGCTTCAACTTGGGGTCTTGTTCCTCTGGAAAAGAGGCATCTTCTGTGCCCACTAAGTTTGCTTTTTTTTTGGCTGCTTCTCTTCAGAGACTTATGGGATCATTTTTTCGTTGCAATTGTTTTCATTTCTTAGTCAAAACACCAACTGAGCTCAAAACAGAACCTCTTTAGAAGGTTCTCAGCCTTTACCTTATTTTTATGCGGTTTGCAACTGGCTTTCGAAGCTAATGTAGGTGCAATAGTAAGCAGAAGAATGTATCAGTTGAAAAGCAAGTGGTCTATGAAATGACACAAACCCATCTGTACACAGCAATAAAAAGATCTGGAGAAAATACCTTGGACGATTCAGATACTGCTGGTTGGAAAGTTGGAGGGGTTTGGATTTTGATTGCTGTCATCACTTTGATCTGGCATGGAGTTCACTGCCAAAACAGCGTGCCGCACACCTGTTATATAGGACAATTTTTGAAATGCCATGAAATCACAGCCTGAGTCTATCAGTGGTGGTGGCAGATGGTGATGTTGTTACAGTAGTGCCTCAGGGGCATGCTGGGAGCAGGGTCCCATTGCAATGGTAATCTAGAGACCCACAACAGTCAGTATTCCCACAAAAGAAGTCTAAATAGGTAAGAGCTTCAAAAAAAGACTGGTGAAGTACTGTGTTCAAGCTACGCAAATGGCACATAATGGTGAGAGAACATAACCTCCTTTTTCCCAGTCTACCTCCTTGATCATTGAAAACTGTTGTTCTCTTGTTACTTTAGCTGCCATCCCACGATTACACCCATATTTCAGGCTGCTGTTTGCCTAAGGGATGGAGGTGGGAAGGAGGAATTGTACTTTGTTTCACAGCAATGAGAGAGACCCTGCTTTGTTCCTGTCAAAATGACCCTGCTCCAGTGGAAGGACTGTAAAAGTACTTATTGTTGTCATTATTCCCATTAGGTTTGCTAAAAGATTAGGAGGAAGTTGCAACAACTTGAAAAAAAAAAAAGACCTACAGATTAACTGACAGTACTCCATTTGCATATGAATTTGCCCAGTCTGACCATAACTCATTTTTAGAACAGCATGGGGAAAATACAATTCAGATCTTCATTGCTGTTTGGTGGAAAAGCTAACACATGAAACATTGGAAAATCATCTCACTGCATCCAGATATAGGGTTAAAGTCTCCTGTGTAAGCCTGTATCAAATTGGCATGTACTATAATAGCAATTTCAGCACTGAACAGACATTCTCCCATAATGTCTGATATAATAACGTAACTTATGTAGAGTTTCCTTTCTTCTTAATATTCTGAGCCATCTGAGCAGACTCTGAAGAGCACCCTTCCAAAAACTGATGAGTCTGCAAAACCAAATGAAGAAAAAAAGATAGATTTCTCATTATCCCTGCCTCTTGAGAACATTTTCCAAGTAAGCTCTTACCTAAGCTCTTACCATAAATACAGCCTTGCCCTCCTCTCAGATGATATCTCCCTTTAATATCTCATTGACAGGTTCATATCTGCGCTTATCCTTGAGTTTCCGGATTAAGAGGAACATTGGTTACTTCATCCTGCAGACTTACATGCCATCTATTCTCATCACCATCCTGTCCTGGGTCTCCTTCTGGATCAATTATGATGCTTCTGCTGCACGAGTGGCACTGGGTATGTACCTTTTCATTATATGTTGAAGAAGGTGGGTTTTTTGAGGGAGATCAGCTAGGACAGCTCTAAGAAAGAAAATACCTTTTTCTTTATGAGGTAGCAGCTAAGCAAGCCACATAGGTCTGTCAAGCTTGTTGTCCCAAATGAAGGACATTTCAAATTTGCAACAAGAAGAGCCACTTTTTTTGTTCAGAAGTATCAGTACTTCCCACGCTTGAGTCTGTAGTATTTGAATCAGTAAAAGTTCTACCATAAATTTCTGTGGGTGCAAGTTTAAACTCTATAACAAAAGCATAAATGGTCACAGCTTCTCAGACGTGTGAGACTGACATGCCATGAGCCCACCAGTTCCTTCACCCTGGTTTGTACTTGTTTTCTTAAGAAGAGAAGTCGGGGCACCTCTTGGTCAACAGGTGTGCCAGGATTGGTTAGTTGGATACTGAGGGTGGGTGGCCAAAGAGTAGTAAGAATGGTGAGTGAATGGCTAAAAGATGAAAAAAATAAAGGAAGTTGCATTACACATTTTCATGATAGTTTAGGGCCCATACAGACACTTTTTGTAGCTGAAGACCTTCATAATCAAGTCAAATGTGGGACAGTAGTTAAAGTCCAAGTTCTTCTTAAGCACATGCTCCCTTAAATAGGAATGTTTTCCTATAAGAGGAAAAAAATGAGGTCTTTTAAGCAACAGAAGGGAAGTGGGGGTGGATTGCAGATGAGGATTTTGAAGAAGGAACAGGAGAAAGGGGGGATGGCTGGCATATGAGAACGGGGATGTGCAACATCATAGAAAGTTCAGAGGAAATAGGAGAGCCAAGGAGGAAGAAGGATTTCATCTGTGAGTGGGAAAAGTCTCAGAGAGGCAATGGAGCACAGGTAGATGCTAGGTCTTACAGAAAAGGTTTGGGGCTTAAATTAGCTCTAGGAGAAGACAGAGTTTGAGAAGAGTCAGAGGAGGGATGGTTTGTACAAAGATATAAAATAGATTATTTGGCTGTGCTTGCTTGGAGATGCTGGGGCAGGGAGACAGGGAGGGAACAAGAAGAACATGGTAAATTAAAAAGGTAAGTTACATTGACAAGAGTATAATCAGTGACAGAAGAAAAAGAGACCATGGCAGACATGGCTGGCACAGTGAAAGTACAAGCAGAAGGGTGGACATGAGCACAGCTGTTGAATTTCTGCTGACATCTGGATTCAAAGGAGAAGACAGAAGAAAAACATTGTAGATCAAAACAGGAACACCTCTCCCTAAACTGTTCCTGACAGCATTCTATCTAACTTGTCCTTAAAAAGCTCCAAAGAAGGAGACTCCACAGCCTCCTCTGGGCACTTTATATCCAGATTTACCTGCTCGTACAGTCAAAAAGCTCTTCTTTGCCTCTGTCCTAAGTCTCCATTGCAATTTGTCCAGTTCTTAATGGAGATGTGGAGAACATTCTATTCCCCCTTTCTTTGTCCCAGATTTCTGGATATTTAGACTACTGTTTAAACATAGACAATATAATATATTGTATGTATATAAATATATCTCACTTCCGTTTACTCTTCTGTGAACTGAAGACTATTAGTTCTTTAAATCTTTTATCAGGAATGACACTAAAGACACGAGAGGGTGAAGGGGAAACAGGACAAGCAGAGGTCCAGGACGCACAGAGAGGTTTGAGAGTCATCACTGTAGAGGAAGGCCTGAAACCAGAAGAGCAAATTAGGGTCATGGAGACTAAGAAAGCTGCCAACAGAGAGATGAGGAGGGACACTAGAAAAAAAGGAGATCAGCAAGGTAGTAAGAAAAGCAGCACAGCTGAGCTAGAGAAGTAGGAAAAGAAGACTAGGTTGAAGAAGAAGAGTTAACTGCCCCCAAAAGAAGCATGAAGGCTTGTTGCCATCTTTTTGAAGCTGGCAGAAGACTGTCAAAGAGACAGATCTGAGGCCGCTCTGACAGTCCAGAGAAGGGAAGAGGCTGAGAAGAAAGCAAAGAAGAGGGCTGAAGCTGTGAGAGTAATCATGGTGCACCAGGCTCTAGGAAACTGAGTAGATGGGGAAAAAAGTGTTCAATGAGGCCAAGAAATGTTTATTTAAGATGCAGAAAATATGAGTAGGCCTAAAAAGGGAGTGTTAGAACCATGGCAGGAGTGCGTACAGATGATAATTGAAGTAGTGAGTGGTAAAGCTGGTGAAAGGAAGGTGGAAATTGATGGGGGTCAAGGATGTAGACAGAAGCCTATGAGGCATGCAAAAAAAGAGCATGCCATGAAAAGGGAATCTCTTCACTCTTTCTCCTATTCATGGCACTGGAAAGACACAGCAGATTATAAATTCATGTCAAGGATACTGAGGCATTCAGTAGTGCCCAGGGAAGCCTGATGAGTTCATGAAGTGGAAAAAAGGAGGAGAAGAGGTTGAGAGACTGAGATCAAAACTGAATGTTTCCTACCACACTGAGGGAAAGAAGGAGGATCAGGGAGGACTTAAAGAACCAAGGTCCAGAGGATGTTGATCCCCATCGTCCTGATGATACTCAGCTTTGACATTTTCTCCCACTGTTGGTGGCTGGTTTATTTTCTGCAGCGATTTGTACTGGGCAGCTGGGCTTAGAATAATGACAATTTTCTTCCCAGTTGCACTGCTCCCATCCCTTTTGAGGTTGTTCAGCTGGGAGGAGGGATGGGGAAGCTGAGAGTGGCATTTCAGGAAACCATCCCACCTTGGTAACAGAGCACCTACCCTCTCCTTACAGGGGTCACCACGGTACTTACAATGACTACCATCAACACCCATCTGCGGGAGACTCTCCCCAAGATCCCTTACGTCAAGGCTATTGATGTTTATCTCATGGGCTGCTTTGTCTTCGTGTTCCTTGCACTCCTGGAGTATGCTTTTGTCAACTACATATTCTTCGGGCGAGGCCCCCGGCAGCAAAAGAAACAGAGTGAACGGATCAGCAAGGCCAACAATGAGCGCCACCGTTATGAGGAGAAGAGGGTGAGAGAGCAGGTTTGTCCCCTTCTTTCATTGTGGCAGGAGAATTCAGACTATCCATTGTTCATTCAGTCCTGGGTGAGCTGTGGACCAGCCTTTCTCCTCATCATGAGAGATGAACTCCAGTTCCCCTGTCTCGTGATTACTGGGAATTTTTTCTCCTTGATCATTTTGTCATCATCCTCAAGTCAGTCTCATCAGGACCATCCTCTTGCATGGGGCAGGTGTACCCAAAAGTACTGCTGTGGCTTTTGGTCCTACGATGTTGTCAGAATCACACTACCCCGGTCAAAAGTTTGCTGCGAGCACATGTGGCTAGTCCTTCAACTCCGGCATCAGTGGACAACATTTTCAAATGCAGAAGTCCAGGTTCAGAGCTCACAAATGACCCAATCAGTGGTATTGTTACACAGAAAAGAGTTCAAAATCATCCCTGATTGTGTGTCCCTGTATGCATTTTGCACATGACATCCCCGCTACCTTTCTCTCTGTCTTCTCTGTTCTAGGTTGACCCTTATGGTAACATCCTCCTCAGCACTCTGGAGATGAACAACGAGCTGCTGGCCACGGACATGATGAGCAGCGTTGGTGACTCTCGAAACTCTGTCATGTCCTTTGAAGGCTCAGGAATCCAGTTCCGCAAGCAGCTGGCCTCTCGGGATGGATTTGGTCACCACCCAACCCTGGACCGCCATGTCCCGCTGACCCACCACGCCGCGGCCCGCAACCGTGCCAACTGCCGTCTCCGCCGACGGTCATCTAAGCTGAAGCTCAAAATCCCAGACCTGACAGACGTCAGCACCATTGACAAGTGGTCACGAATCATTTTTCCAATCACCTTTGGATTCTTCAACCTTGTTTACTGGTTGTACTATGTAAATTGATGCCTGCAGCCTCCGAGACAGATAGGGACAGACACTCAGACAATGACAACACAGGAGTGTTGTGGTCTTTTGGGTTTGGGTTTTACTCTTTACTATCATTATCATTTATTCCTTTGATTCATTAGAGTTATTCTAAGCTTACTCTTCTCTTTTCAGCACATGTAGAACCACGGAGTGTGTGGAGGGGTAAGGGAGAGAAGGGTATATGGGAGGGGGTTTCATTTCAGGGAGGGATGTGTTTGTCTCGATTTTGGTTTCCTGCTGAAGGACTTAAACCAGTTTAAAAAAAACAAAAACCACCAAAAAACAAAAAAAAGAAAAAAAAAAGAAAAAAATAACAGAAAAAAAAACACAAAAAAACCCCATCAAAAAAAGAAAAGTTTAAAAAAACGGGGGGAGGGAGATTTAAAGAAATTGAGTCAAAAACTGATGGGGGGATAGGTTATCTTTGGCTGTGCTCACAAATGCGCTATCCTTACTTCCATTTCACTACCAAATTTCATCGTTCTCTTCTCAGTATTATTATATTTTTTTAATCTTTCTTCTGTCACTGCTCTTAACTCCTTCATGTTTAGTCTTTCATGGATTCATGAGGTGGTGGGGTTTCATTCTCATGCTATGAGATTTCTCTTTTCTTTTTCTCTCTCCCTCTCTCTTGCTTACAAGCCTAAAAGAATCTTTTAAACCAACAAATAAAAAGAATATTTATTTTGGAAGAGCTGGGAAGGGGGGAGGACAAGGCAATTATTTGGGAGGGAAGGGGCAATGTGGGGTTATGGGAGGGGGGGAAGAGGGAGCTTATCAAAAACAAAGGCACATTTGCAAGTTGCCTTTTTCCACCTTCAGGAGTTTGCAAGCTGTTTTTCCTGTATGAATGTGTGTGTGTGTGGCGCATCTGTGTGTGTATGTGCGCATGTATGTAGATACGGATGTGTGTGTGTGCAAGCATGTTTTCTGGGGAGGGGACCTGGGGAGGGGGGGTTTTGTAATGTCTTTTGTAGAAAGAGAACACAGATGACATTTAACTGGCAGTGTTTTGGGGGGAATAGCAGGGTTTTGTTTGCTCATTGCAACTTTGTGAGGTTGGAGGTCTGAGTCCCAGCTTGTATTAGAGAGACAGAGCTGGGGGAGGTAGATTGTGCAAATACATATACTTGCTGAGGAAAGAAAGGGCTTTGGGGATCAGCAATGGGGCAGTGCTGCTGTTCCGTGCTGGCATCTGATCTCTAGTAGACTAAGCTGATTCAGTCCTGAAAGGAGGGGTTGTTCCTAATCATTCCCACCCTGCATCTTTCTTACTGAGTTTGGGGAGAAAAGCAGTTGCAGGACTCTGAAAACTCAACCCTTCCCCCTCTACCTGTTCCTTGTGCCAAGCAAGGGACTTCACACTCCAGCCCACTGAGTGACCGTAGCCTATGGCAAGGTGCAGGAAAGGGTGGATGTTGTTTAACTTTGTTGTGCTTCAGGATGAAAAAACTCAGAAATGACAACTATCCCCTCTCCTAAGAAGTTCAGAAGCAAATGGTGGGCTGGCACCCTCTGATCTGTACGGCTTCTATCAGGCCTTGCTTTATGTCTGTTAATATATGTAGAGTGTAGAGAAGAGCACCCTGTGTCCCTTCTTGCAGAAGATGTAACTAAGGATGCAGTAGGGTTCCATGGAGCATCATCCTGCTGGAAGACGATGGTCTTCAAAGACTGGGCAGGGTGAAGGTTGCAGTGAAAATGCTGAGCTTGTCAGTGCTTGTGGAAGCCCCTAAGTCTGTAGCAGCTTCCATCCACAGGCGCTCATTATAAAGGTACAGAAGGGTAACTTGGCCTTGGACAGCAAGGTCAACTTTTTTCCAAAGGAGCCAGTGACTTTCAGGAAAATCACTGAATTATTGGCCTCTTTGGCAATCACTGATGATTGATAATCTCCCTTATAATATTAATAAAAGCCATGAAAATAATAAATTCACAAGTGCAAAACTTTAACCCTAGGGTCATTCTGCCATTCCTGGAGTAATGATGAGAACCTTGTTCTTACCTGATGGAGGTTTTTACATGCCAGACACACACACTGTCTTGAACCCAACCATCCCTTTATTCTCCTGCTAGCATTCTCTTCCTTTTTCCTTGACTCCCATTGCTTGGGAGAGCAGAGTGATCCTCTGAGACCAGGGAAACTCCTGTTTCTCAGATGACAGATGCATCTAATGCACATCTTTTCATTCACTAATTTATGTCTGTACAGTGCTATGAAAATGTCAATCACTATAGGCCTGACCTAGTAACACTGAAGTCATGGAAAGTTTTGCCTTGACTTGGATGAAGCAGGATCAGGGCTCATCAGAGTAATAAGTATTGTTATTTTTATATCAGTAATGTGTCTTATGCATTTTCCACTAATAGAATCCTAAGCATAAAAGTAGAGCATCCATCCTTCTCAATCGCCCCCAATCTCTGTCTCCCTCTCTTATGTTCATTCATGCACACATTCAGTCCAGGCCTCCCTGGACTCACCAAGGTTTTAGCACAATTGTTATATCAGACTTAGATTCCCAGCTGCCATGCAGAACTCTCTTGCTGGTTTCCACATTCAAGAGCGATGCTGTTAAAAATGGTTTTTCCCAATGTTATTGTACTTTACAGTCTAGGCGAGTCTGTATAGGAATAAGAGTCTGAAGAGCGAATGGAGCTGGATGATGGGCTAGGGCTGGATCGGGTAGTTTTGTCTACCTGATATGCAGGAAGTTAACGCTTAGCCAATGGAGAAGGTTACACTTTCTAGTTGGATTCTATTTGCAAATGGCTTTTAAATGTTTTAATGGAAGTCATAAAGTTGTGTTTTATGACTTCAGCAGTATAATGTAGGTGGATATATGCATGTCAGATGACTGCAGTTCCCAGATGGAGGCTGCCTATCAGCAGGTTCAGTTTTTAAGGGCAGTCTAACCAGCTGATTGATGTTTAAATAAAATATCGAGGTCTTTTCCAACCTCAATGATTCTATGATTCTATGATTCTATCTAAACACTTACCCTTTATAAATGTGATTGCAATGTAAAGGGTGGTCAGAATGATAGAAGGGAAAAAAAGAGGCAGTTATAAGAAGCCTATTAAGACTGGAGGGAAAACAAATGGCCATGTAGTAAGAAATTATGAAGCTGAGGGAGATGACTCAGGAACTCCAGTAATTTCATAGTTGTAGTAAAAGCCTGACAAATGTGTGGTAGGAGTTAGGCACCTGAGAACTCTCTCAGCTCGTCCCAAAGACCAGCAGTAGCACACAAATGATGCAAAACCCACCTATACTCTTTGCTGCTCAGGTGCTGAGCCCCAGACGGAGTGGGGTCCTGACCAACCCCATCCAGCGCCCTACAGGTACAGCCCAGGGCCTCCAGCAGCTGGAGACCAGGCACAGGGGGGCTGTGTTTAATATTTGAGGCTTCAATCAGAGATTGAGCCCAGAATTTTATAGTGACAATCCAAAAGCTTTCCAGGGAAAAAGCACTGCTCAGCTGATTTCTTCACCTGCTGGGACTGGGAGCCAGACTCCTTTGCTATTGCCTCGGTTCTCTGTTGGCTGGGTTCTCTTTCTTATCAGGAGTCATCCTAGTTTCTCTCTTTGAATGTTTCTGACCTGGTATTACCAGATCAGTTTTACTTCATAGAGTCAGTCTTAGTATATCCAGACATCTGGACTATTTGGTCCTACACAATAATCTTTGCCAAAGAGTGTGCGGTCAGGACTTTTCATAGTTCAGGAACTGCCTTACAATTTCTGGTGACAGGGCAGAATGCTGGAGAACAACTGAGTGTCCTGTGAGTCGGATGAGTAATAGAAAATGTGTTCTCATACAAGGCTGAGGGAAGAATGCTGAAGGCCTTTAGAAATGCCCTCCTCCAGAACCAAGGTGGCACCTCCATTTTCCCCCTCCATAGCCATCTGTGTCCACCCCTAAGAAAGGCAACAAACCCATGTCTCGTTTTGAGGTCCAGTAATCCAGAAAGGAGATAGTGGAGAAAAAAGGCGTTTTAATCATACTCAAGGCTCAGAGGTTTCAAGCCATCACAAGCATGAGGAAAGGAAAGGCATGAACCTCTCATGCAGTGGGTACAAAGCTCGTGTTATTAGAAAGGTGGAGGGGATTTCCATGCTGCAGCTTGTGTGCCTGCTGCTGTCCACCTTCTCTTCACGAAGTGAGAGCAGTGGGGAAAGGGGGAGGAAAGAGTGTGAGTGCTGTTCCAAAGTGGAGCTTCTTCTGACTTTTGCTGCAGTGGTGCAGGAGGCAATTCTGATCGGGGCTTGGTTTGTTTGCAGCTTGGGGCAGGATTGCTGCTTGCTGGGTCGTGTTTTTTAGCAGAGACTGTAACACGAGCATAAGGGACGGTCCAGGCTGCCTGAGGGAGCTGGGCTGGGGGAGAACGTTTTGCACCTTTCCCATGCATAATAGCCTAAGACAGGCATGTGGAGGAGGAGAAGGAGGAGGAGAAATAGAAATGAAAATCTCTCTCAGGATATACATGGCCAACGCAACTCTATCGCTTCATTTTCTGATACTGTATAGTGCTGTCACTCAGGGACCTTTAGGAACTAGGACCTTGGGACTGTAATCCTACCTGCCCCCCTCCTATCTCCCCTTCACCTTGAGTATTAAGAACTGAAGAGAGAATGAGAGAAAGAGCAAAAGAGGAAAATAAGAGCCCTGGTAGCAAACCCCTGCTATTCCATGGGTGAAAGTAAAGCTTTGGTTGCTAAGGTAAAAGGAAAATGTATACCTTTATGTTCATGTCTTCAAGCATAAACCAGCCCGTAGTGTATATAGGATAAGTTCACAGTGCATGAAACAAAGAAGACTGTAGGTCTTAACTGGCATCCAGCTTTCTTGCATGCACATCTGACACCACGCCAGCAGCTTATGTCTTGCAAATAAGTAGGGAACCTGCCAAGGCTTGGCACTTCCTCTGTCCAGTGGACAGCACATCCACTTCCCAGAAACAGAGCCATGCGGGGAACTGATCTGGCCAGTCTGTTTGACCAGATCTGCTCCAGAGGCTCTGGCAGGAGGAGATAAGGGGTGCGGGAG